CACGGTTTGGACTTGGTTTTTACATGTAAATTGAAACACAATAGCTTTCATCTTTTGATGTTTTGCTAAATTGTTATAGTTGCAAGTAGGTGAGGTTAGTCAACATTCACCCATTTCTAGTGATAATGCCTGCTAAGTGAAAGATAAACAGATTTGCATTGATGAGCACAGTCTGTGTTATTTTGTGTTATTCTATTTTTCTAGCATAGTATCTGTTTAGTTCTTTCTTTTTACTCTTTGCTTTAAAAAAAACATTTTAACATCTCCTGTACTTCAGGACTCCAGTGTCAGGACTGTATAATTTAAAGAAACAAAATATAAAAACTGCAAGAGTCTGAATATTTTTACCTTGCACTATAGGTATAAAAGATCCTAAGAGGCATAGACAGGGTCAACTCAAGAGATTGGACACAATTAGTAACTGAAAGATAATTAATTTAAGGTGAAAAAATAGGAAATGCTTTCTTATACGAAAATTTGTGACTATCTGGAATTAGCATCACAACCAGATGGCTGAGGAACAAACTCTAGGCACCTTTAAGAGGTGGCTGGATACATTTTTAGTTTCTCTTAAGCACTAAATTACTGTACCAAACAAGCAAGATTAACTGAATGCATGTCTTTCATTTTTGGCTTTTTTAAAAGCAGAACAACTTTATTTGAAACCATTGGGACTGGGATTTGAGTTTTCCATTTGAGAATTTGAGATTGCTGATGATGTTTCCAAATAGTTTTTCTTTGGTTATACAGTATACACTTTTTTGTCACCAGTCAAGCAACAATGTGTTTGAAGTGTTAAACAGCACGGAGACTGTGTGATGATATAAGCTTTTTTGTCTTCACTGATGATCTTTGGACTGCAGAAAGATCAATGAATGCTGCAAAATGTCTGTTGCACTCTTCTACTGTGTGTTACCCAGTAAAGAAGATTTATTGGACAGAAGTTAGTGTTCCTGCTCTGTAATGACCCTAAGCATTCTGCAAAGTCCACAGAGGGAAAGAAGGAAAGCAGTTATGGCTTGGACATCCCATTCCCCAGACTCCCAATTAGCTCTCCATCTGTGCATTTTGTTGGCCAAGATAACTGTTGACTTCTTTATGATTTTTTATTGCTTCCATCTTCTTAGCCTCTACAAGGTAATTGAACACTACTTTCCACTTCCTGAAGTTAATTTTGTGTTTTTTTCTTGTTACTTTGATCTGAGTAGTGCGTTTGGCAAAGATGACAATGTCATCACTTGCAAGTGCCTCAGATAAGCAGTTTATATTAATTCCCTTTTTTCACAGTTTAACTTTCCTTAAACATATAATTTTGTATATCAGTCTCCTACCCGTGAAAATTTCAACACTGCTTACCTAGTCATAATTTTGCCCTTGTAGAAGGGTAAATGTGCTCTTCAGTTTCATTATTTGTTGTTTTTCTCACTTCACTGAATTACACAATATGCCATTCACTCTTGCTAAGCTCCTGGAGATGGTCCTGAAGTTGTGCTTTGTAAGGATCAGTGAAGAATGGGAGCTCCAAATAACTGAACTCAGATTTCATACAACTATGCCATTCGGCTGCTGAAGGCTGAAACCCATTTATTGTTTTTAAACATTATCTTGGTGCATTACTATCATCCAACACCTTGCTCAAGCCTTCAAAATTGAATTGAATGCACCAGAGAAAAACAATTCCAATGTGTTTTGCTTTGTTCTTCCATTGACATGATTGCCAAAAACAGTAGCAATGGAAAGTCTGAACTCCCTTTAATTGTTTCACATTTTCTTGGATCAGTGTCAGATTTTTGAGCATTTAAATTAAGTGCCATTACCTTATCTATCTACGCACAATATTCTACACTTTAAATGGAAAAAACATCTAATCATTTTGTTAAGAATAAGTTATACATTAAAAATGAACAGCGTATTCACTTCCTTGAGTTATTATTGAGTGGTAGCACCTTTGGCCATAATTACACACGTGAGTCTGTTGAGATAGGTCTCTACCATTTTTTCATTCCTAGGTGTGGCAAAATTTGGCCATTTACTTACACAAAACTGTTCAAGCTCTGTCTTCTTACTTGGGGGCGGTGATGGATGAGGCCACAGATTATTGAGTGGACTTCAGGTGTGGCTCTGACTGGGCCTCAGCAGCTCCAGTGCAGCTCTGGCTGTCACCTTCTTTCAACATGTCCCTGTTTCTGTTTTGTTGCAGATTTTTTTGGTACTTTGTTCCATGTATCCTGAAATGGAGTAGTGTCCTGTCCGGGGTGTATCCCACCTTGCACCTGTTGCTTGTTGGTATAGGCTCTGGCTTTCTCACATCCCTGAACTGGATGAAGTGGTTAGATAATGGATGGATAAAGTATATTGTTACAAATGGGGGGATTATGGAAATAGTGAATAACAGAAATTGACCAAGCACATAAATCAAAGTAAATAAATCATCATAACCTCATAACCCCCAACTTGTAAATGATTTTGCCAAAAATATATCCAAGCATTTGTTATAATTAGAGGCACATGAAACCTTTGTTCTCTGGCACAGCTTATGTTAAAAGAGTAATAATTCAGCCACACTGGGTTAAACAAACATTTAGTAACTGTGACAATAAACATACTGAACAACACTACATAAACATACAACAAGTGATGTACAAACCCTCTAGTAAGGTGTTTCAGAGCCCAAAACTCCTATCTTCCCAGAAAAAAACCAAGACTGTTACCAAATATTTATGTGACTCATATATAATGGCTACAAAGGCATTATGTAAAGAGAAACTGCATTCTAAACCAAGCAGAACTTGTGGTTAAATCTCTCTCATTGCAATCCCGGATGCTGGAAAATGAATGTGAGCCTATCTTTCTATTCTAAAAAGCATCCACTACCCAGGAGAGGCCATTTTGTAACAGAGGGATGTTTTACACAGGAAATCAGAGTTCCCCACAAACCACAGAATAACAAACTCTCGTGACAAGGTTTGAATACTTGGCTCCAAATGGGTCTTTCTGGGTGATCTCCCCCTCCCCTCTTTTCTCATTTCCATGTTGTCTTGTCTTGTCTTCCTTATGCTCCGTTTTATGCTCTGTTCCTGGACTGTTGATTGCCAATTAAATAATATACCCAGAACTTAATCAACTAAGGTGAACCAAGGTAAACTTTACAATTGCTTTGATCACTGAATCTGGGACCACTACATCTCAACAAACATCCCCTTGCTTTGAAGCTGGAAATGCTGATTAGTAGCTACTGTAGGTGCTCCCTGTTGTATCTAGATTCACTTCATAACATTATGATGTTCTTTTCAACAGTTTCTGAAGTGAGAAAGTCTGTAATTTTAAAGCAAAGCCAGTTTTCTTTATTTCTAGCAATAAAATTTAAAGCTTAACTCTCCGTAGTCACACCTCCATCCACCTGTCAGTTGGTTGCCATGGAAACATGCTCTGACAAGAAATCTGAATTACCCAGCAGGGAATGTTCAACCACACCGCCTCAGGTGGTTCAGAATACCTCAGGTTTGCTCGGACAATACCTGGGGCTCTGGTACAGAATTTGTTCTGACGTCTGCTTCTTCCCTAGTTTGTTCCATTTCCAAGTTTCATTGTGCTCTGCTTCTTTTCTTCCAGGATACTGAACCCGAGATTTGCCCTGACCACATCTCTGGATTTGCCCCTTTGCCCCTTTGTTCCTTTATGCCTTGGCACTGTGTATTGCTCTTCTCCTGCTGTGAACCTTGTTTGTCTGAACTGCAGATCTGGATTTGCTCCTTTGTGCCCTCACTGTGTCTCTCTGGCTCTCAGTCACACTTATCAGATTTCTGTCCTGTACTGTGTTTGTCTGCGCTACGCACTTCTTGTATCTCCAGCCTGCTCTCATACAACACGTCCTGCAGCTTCACCATCTCAGTGGGTTCATAAAGTGATTATTTTTACTATGGTGTTTCACTATGTATTTAATTGCTGCCCAGGTCATTACATTAATAGAGTGTGAGATCTGGTCAACGTTGCATGTCTGGAGACCTTTGTACATAAACACTTTGATGAAAAATACAGGTTCTAAGAGGTTTTTAGATTTATTTTATGGAATTACTAAAATTTTACTGAACTATGATATTACAATAAAATTCCTGAAATAAAAACAAACAGCTAAAAGACTGTGCTATTATTATAACCGGGCCTCTAGGGACCATGCTCTCTTATCTAGTCCTTTCTAAACTCAAACCTTCACCCACTAAACTGATCTCACCACAGCCACCATGTCACTCCATTACACTTGTAGAAGAAAATATTCTGTGATTTCTAAGGATTTTCTGAAGCCTTTCTACATTCTGCCCCTGTCAAAGTGCTTCGTCTTTTTTTTTGTTTCTTTACTAAATATAATATCATAATGTTAAAGTATCTCAAGATGGAAATGGCTTCACACAAAGAATTTATGAGTGTATAGTGAGCTCTTGATATTCTAGCCAAGAATGAAGTCTCTTCCAATCAATACTAACCTTTATCAGCACAAATAGTTATAGTATGCAACCTTTAGTAACTGAAGCATAAACACTGGGTTATTACAAATCAGAAAAGATTAAGTCTGCCAACTTCATCTACAGCATGCTGTCTGGGAATGTGCTTGCCAGTTTTGTGACTGTTCTAGCTTCAAAAAAGAACAATTCATTCAATTTTCTATTATACAGTACATGTAATTTATTTTTTGGGCTGAAGCATTCTATTAATATATTAAATTGTAAAAAAAAATTGTACACTAATCAAACCGTGATAACTTCTACAAGGTGAAGTGGAAGTGGAGGATGCGAAGAGTAGATGTTCTGTTGTCCCAGAACCAGATAATTTTTCCATTGATTGACGAGCACACAGGTGCGCACTAGTTGACAATGCTACGTTTGCAGTCACGGTACCTTCAGACAGGTTTAAAGCATGATCAACAGCAGCCAGGGTACTTGGTATTTGTGATGTTAAGAAAAGTGTGCATATTGTAATTACTGCCATTTCACTCTGTTCTTCAGGTGAAGAGTTCACTTCTGTGTACTACTCTGGTGATTCGTATATGGAGTTCGATGGCATTGACCTGGTGCCGTCCTTGAATATTTCCCTCAGATTTCAAACAGAACACTCAGAAGGAACCATTCTTTATGCAGATAAACGACGAGGCACAAATGTCTTTTTCATTAAACTTGCTGTTGAGCAAGGATGGCTACAGGTAATGCAATTTCAAGAAAACTGAGTTCTGCTTTTATTACGTTTTTCTTGTTTTTAGTAAAATCGTGAACAGAATTGATGGAAAGTAAAATACATAGGCAAACCATACTTCACGTATCAAGACAGAGTTATAGGAGACATTGATTCTCATCCATAAAGACTATCTGTTATGCTAAGTTTTCTATACTTTTTTAAAGAAGGAATAAAAAATTCCTAATATTTCACAATCAAAAAGGAATATGTAAGTGTCTAGAGTGGCTCTTGCCATAAAGATTGATGTAACAGTTCACAATTCTGGTGAGTGATTTTCTTATTAGTATAAAGGCAGGTGTGAACTTTGTGTTCTAGAAGCTCTTTCATGTTTATGATTCATATTGATTTTTACAGTATTACTACTGCTGTAGTCAAGAAGAGAGAGGAAGAAACCTAAATACAACTATTCGGGTTGATGATGGAGGAGAGTACATGGTTCGCATCAGGTTTGTTTTTCATTTGTGTTTTTTTAATAACAGATATGTAATTAAAATTAATTTCTTTTTATAATGTATGTTCAATACACCACATTGAAAATCCTGTGCATTTCATAGATAAAAATAGTTGAATTTAATTTAATGTTTTTCGTCATTTCTTTAAAACAATTTCTGGTTTTTGCAGCTTTACCTTGAATCCCACAAATGCCAAATAAGTTGTGTTTTGATTCCATTGTTTTGAAGCGATAAAGTTTTAATTTGGGATAGTGCAAGGTTATTAAGCCAATCATTCTGATTTATTGAATACATAGAGAATGACTGGATTGTTTTTCTTTTAATAATACACATTGCCTAATTTGTGGAATCAGAATGGAAGGACTTTCTGGAGAGGTGATGACGAATCCTGTACATGTTTATAAGTTACACCCTACTGAAAACAACTATCAAATAATACATTTATTGCATATATTAGTTCTATATGTTCTCTGCCTGTCGATAAGCATTACAATCTGAAGAAAATAAAGTTTCTTCACAGCCCCTGACCTCACAGCTCCTGACTTTTTCTCCTGATGTTTTCAAATGTTTTTATTTCATTGCAAAGAAGAAACAATTCAGGCAGTGCTGAAAGTGAGATTGCAGTAAAACCCATCATTCTTGTTTCCTGCCTGCCCTTAAAAGACTTAGAATGAAAGACGGCCATACCCAGAGCGAAGAGTCAAAAAAGCAGCTTTGGATTTCACTTCAACCAAAACAAATCCTTTGTAACCATCTGACTCGGAGGATTCTCTTTGCGCACTGTCATTTTGAAGCACAAGGCACCTCAGAGGAAACCCGAGGTTCACAGTGTACTGAATCGTTTCTCAATCTTATTATAGGTATGGCTGAAGTTTTTAGTGTATCTCCACGCCAAAGATGGTTTTCTATACATTTAACGGGAATCTGCTGAAGTTAGGTTTCAAGGACTCCCAGCGCACCCTGCCCTTTGGCAAACAGCCAGAGAGCCGCGGCAGACTGCTTCTAAATTAACTCCTTTTTCACATGGGCTCCGAAGAAAGACTCTCAAGCTATGTTTGTGCCCCCAAGTGTTGAACCAGAGATTGTTACAGCAATGGATGCTAGGCTGAACAAATCATGCCTGATTGCTTCTTTAAATCCCTCCCCTCCACAGAGGGAGCTAAAGTATTAGGAGGCATGGAGTTATCACATCTGCGGACCAAGTCCCCTCCAGCTGCAGACAGTTAGCCATGGCTCATACTTGGGTAATTATCTGCCTCCCCTGTTGTTTCAGGCCAGAGAATTAGCTTTGGAAATCTCCCAAGGCCTTGGGGTGTCCCTGGAATAGAACACTGAAGACAAGGGAGGTGTCTTAAAATGTTGCTTAAAGCAGCAGGCAATGAAATACAAATGAGGTCTGGCAATATAGCTCCCTCCTTTCTCCTTTTTCAATGTAGAATGTGTCACCTCCTCAGTCGTCCAATGAAAGTCTATTATAAGCTCGTTTGAAATTGATTGCTTGCATAAATAAAAACGCAGATACAATACATGGAGATTATGCTCCATAACGTGACATCTTAAACTTATCAAAATACCACAAAGGAGAAGACTGAAATTCTACCACAGATCTCATCCACGTCCAGCAGGGTTTCAGAAACTCATAACTAGCCCGGGAGCTGAACATTGACATTAAATAGCTTAATTTTATCCTGCACCAAAGTGATGAGTAAATTGCCTAAAAATACATGTATACGTTTGCAGTTCAGACAATAATTTGCACCATCAACAGCAGGCATGATTGCTAGATGATTGTCAATCTGCTATTAAGCTTCATTGCTTTAAGGTTCTGAGGCAACATGTTATCTGGGTGTTATCTTGGAGATAACTGAAATTGCAATAGATACTAGACAGTGTGTTAAGATATTGCAGATGTAATACTGGCTAAAATGTTATTAAAAGTATTTCAATTCTGTAGTAGAGCATATACATTTTTACAAAAACCACACTGACCATGCATCTAAATTGTCTTTATCAGGTATTTGTCATAGTTTTTTTTTTAATTTATCAGAGATAGTCAAGTAATTTAATTTGAATATATTCAAAATATGGTTTGTTAATTAGAACAGTTGGTCAAATTGTGAAACCCTTTGAAAGCATGTGTGAAATGGATGTGCCACCTGCTCCGTAACTACAATTCGTGATTACACATCAGCAAGAATTGTAAAGCTATGATCACTACAGTATTTAACTCTGGCAAACACAAGAAATAAAGCATCTGCAATTAAATTCTGATTGTGCTGAACAAATGCCCCGCATAAAACCTTGTTTTTATCTATAAAGGTATTATATTAATTTTGTTTTGTAGTTGTAATTATGCCAAAATAATGGTGTTGTCTCTTGACCTTTAAAGAAGGTCTTGTGCTAAGTAGTAATAAGTGCTACAGTGCTTGATCCAAAATTAGTAACATTTTTGTCTGAAAAAATTAAAATCATAGGTTATAGTGTATTTATTTTTGGTTACTCTAATATGCTTAAAAGACGTAATTTATGAAACTGCTAACAATAAAATGAATTGTCTCAGTTCTTACTCTAGCTTCTGAATTTACAACCCTATTATTGATAATGAACTGCATATCAAAGACATGAAAAAAGTATAACTTTTTTTGCTTGATTTGTAACTAGATGCAAGCAGAAAAAGGAACAGAGATACTCATAATAACTGAACATGTGTAGATTTCTCATGTTAATATATAATGGAGATTATATATTAGTTTTTGGTTTAAATAGACAATAATTACAGCAGACTCTCCAAATAAGGACTGTATCTTTGGGTAGAATATGACCTGCCCCCTTTATAAACCATATCTCTGCACTGGAACTGATTAATTTGCTGGACAAGTATGTCTCACCTTAAGTCAACATTTTAATTTGAATGATGACTGTACATACCACACTTGAATGATGCTCTTTTTTATCTTATTCATGTCTTTACATATCACAATTATGTTTTCCAAACAGTTTACTTTCTGTTTTTGGGGGGATAACAATAATTTTTCCATTTTTCCATTTTGTGACCAGTTTAGCTGGACAGAGGACAGTGAAACAAGAGTTGCATTTCTTCAAGTGGCACTAATTCATTTCACAGACTGTATCAAATTGAAGAAATAATCAGTAAATTGGCCAATGTAAGTTTTGAATTAGAAGAGAAAAGCGTTAAATTAAAATAGCTCACACTAACCTTGCATCTTACCCTCCTAAAACAGTTAGGCAGCTTGCCACTCTTGAGTTCTTATGTTCAAGGATATTTTCTGTCAGCCAGGGGTGGTTATTAGTGCCATGTTGGGAGTAGTTTGTCTAAACTGAAGTCAAGATTCTAATTCAGAACAGGCTGATATATGTCTATTAAGAAGTCAATGGGCAAAGTTAGAAATGTTCAGTGTTACAAAAGAGTAAATAACTCTTAAGCAAACAAAAGATTTTAGATCAAAAGTAATGTGCAGTATGCCCCTTTATTACCCTCTAATAGGGAGGTTCTAAAAGTAATTAATAATTCCTCCAATCACTCTCTGTAAAAACACATAATTAAAATCATATCCTTACCATCACATTTGCTTACTTTTTAAGGCTCAACCAGAATGCTTCTGAATTAAGTGTTTCTAAAGTTGCCGTTTCCATGGAGACCACAAATTATCATTTATACTCATTCAGCACAGCCTGTGTTTGTAATGAACCTGAAATCCAGTTATAAATACAGTTCTAGCACTGACTGGATTTTCTTTTTAACTGCTCAAGAAAGAGAATAAAAAATAGGAATCACTAGGAACTTTTTTTTTACATTAAAGAATCTAACATACAGTATAAAATCATGTCTTGTTATTGGACATGAAAAGCGAATTACTGGTTTGTATGCATTTACTGTACATACGCACACCCGTGCACAAATTTACAGGATTGAAGCAACTGTATTTGACAATTTCCTATTTTAATTGTAGTTTATAATAAAGTTTTAGGAGAAACACTCACATTTGTGCCAGTTGCATACTCCAGTAGTGTATACTCTTAATACAAGCCTATAGTCCACTCTGTTCTAGTGTTCGTTTCACTAACACCTCTCCTCCTCCACAACTGTATTGATATTTGGTCATTTTTGCACAAATTTCATTTGTCTTCTTCTCTTTTGTGCCTGTCATGTCACATGCATTGAATCTGGTACTTTTTATGTTAATGCTGTTTGCTGAATCCTGCAAGTGTTTCGCTCTACAGAGCTCTATTTTGGGCTCACCGAGCTGTGTTTTGCCCCTCTCTCAGAAATGTGTTTCCCTATACCAAGTAGATTAGAGTTGTTTTATTAATCAAAGTTCAATTTCTCCTGTTCTTACAACTTTTGACTCTTTTGACCGTTACTACCAAAAACTGATTCACTCATTAACAGTACCTAAGAATTTCACTCAGTTAACTTAAGGGATTTTGTTCACAGAAAAACTCATACAGAAACCCAGCACTACTGTACCTTTTTAAAGCATTTTAAATGTTTTGTGTATATTGTTCATAGACAACACCAGGCGTCTTGTGAAGTGGACGTGACTGTGTCTGGGTTTGAGACTGTTGGGAGCTTGCCCAGTAATTACTGGCCAGGACTCCACATACAAAAAGCAGGCCCTCTCTTCCTTGGGGGTTTACCTTCAAGCTACTGGCCGTATCAGGTAAGCGAATGGCTACAAGATTTTAAATGACTGCAATTTGTTTTTTACTGGCTTTTTCTGCAGCTGAGTAGTCCTTTCGGTGACTTTTCTCATTTGAATGCTTAATCAGTCCCCTTGTAATTTTCTCTGGTCAAGATTAAAAAGATTCAGGTCTTTAAGCCTGCCAGAGTAGGGCATCACTAATTAAGCCCGGCAATGGAACTGGTCACCCTTTGGACTGATTGCAGAACAGTAATATATTTTTGGAACACGATCACCAAAATTGCATACACAATGAGTTATTTCTAGTTCTTTGTACAATTGTACCGCAACAGCCTTTAATTTTAATTGTACACTTTTAACTACTTTTAACTACTGTCTCTAGCCTTACTGGTTTTGTCTTACACACAGAGTCTAGAAGATGGTGTGGAAAAAAACACGAGTATCTTCTTCAGGCTTTGGGTTTCATATCTTAGAATTTGTTTTTTCCACCTGCGTGTAATACTCTGCAACTTGTCATCTGAAAGTACCTGTAGTAAGATGCTTACCTAGTCTTGAATTTTGTTGAATTCACCATGTACAGTACATAGTGCAGTATTTGCTAATCCTGTATCATATAGAACTTTACTAGTTTGCTAACAATACCAGAATCTAGATTGTTGATACTGTATAAATCAGAAAGAGCAATGGTCCTAATGCAGATGCCCATCGTACTGCACTGATCACATCAATGTGGGGTTGTACTGTTGTACTATGTATCAAGGTACTTCGTTTAGGTTGTTTCAGTAAAATATCCAGGTGCATAAGTATAAGTTAAAAGAATGTGACAAATTATTATCTGTTGTAATAACACTAATAATAATCTTAAATCTAATTAATTTCTTATTAATTTAATTGCCTGAGGTGCATGTTCCTGCCATGATGTTGTTTCTTTATGGTGAAGGTTTCCACCTAGATGTGTTTTTAACTGGCCAGGCCTGTTTTCTGTGCACTTGTCAAATCCTGGTTATTCAGTTAAAAAAACTACAGGGACAGATTATTATCTGTAGTTTGCACTGGTAGTGGTGCAGTAAGAAACAAAAAAGTTGTTTTCTGCGCAGTGTTGCAGATTTGACAACCCTAGCTGTGGCTCATTGATTCTCATTCAAAGTACAGTAATTGCTCCTATAAGAATAAGTTATAAAGAGACTTCTTAAGACTGGTTGTGAATATATTACGTGGGAATTTATTTCAGCATTGCAACAAAAAAAGAGCAAATAATCTACTGTTCTACTGGTTCTTCCTTCTTAGCCTATGAGAACACTTCTTAAGGGATCCATTATTTTTAATATATAATAGTATAATAATTTCAACAGAAAGAATAAATGATGAGAGGCCACAGCATGACATGCAACATGAAAGAAAGCTGATAAAATTATTTTCCCATCCTCAATGACCAGACTACTGACAGAATATAAACATCTCTCATCTGTTAGACGTGTTTCATGAGTAAGGGTGTCAGCATTGTGAATTAACGTAAGCCTATTCTTCAGCTCCTGGGTTAAGAAAGACTTGGCTTATGCGTTTTCAGCTTTCCATAACCCCCTCCTCCCCAACGGTGCTCTCATAAACTTTTTGAGTTCTGGACAATTTACTTAAGATGTCTAAAGTACAAGCTGCATGGTAATGTTTATAATTTACTGTGTAATTGATTACATGTTTAATTACTGGACAGTACACTGTAGGGTAATGAAATGTACAGTAATTGTAAAAAATTCAAAGGTAATTCTCCAATTTTTAATTTATTTGCTGTATTGTGTGTTTCTAAGTGGGTGAGACAGTGGCACAGTGGTCAGCATTGCTGCCTCTCCTTCCTCACTCAGCAGCACAGCTAGAGGAAATAAGCTGCAATCGTCTCTGCAGTATCATGATCAGTAATTCTCCGTATGGTTTAATGCAATGGCTATGAAAGGGTGGCTTCATGCTTATGGGAAATTTGGGTTATGTAAAGACTTGAGGAAGGGAGACGCAGTTCTTATGTAACCAGCGAGTGGGTGTATCCAGATCCTATTTGCAGAGAGAGAGAAAAAAACAAACATGAATGATGACTTTCAGGCCGAGCCAAATACAATTGTCAAACAAACTGTCTGTTGAAGACAGTGGTCCTCTGCAATCAGAAGTCAAACAGTGCAGGAAATTCACTGCTGAAAGTTTTCTGAACACCCGTGACCCTGACCCTCCAGAAATACATTGTTGAGAAGGTGAAATTCAGTAACTCCACAATCATACTGCTCATAATAGACGTCACTGTTCCCCACACATCACTTCTTTTGTGTTTAAATGTATAATATTTGCCCTTGCAAACATTGGTAAAATTGAATTTCTCTGTTGTTGTTAATAGCATGAAAAATATATTGCTTTTAAAGTAAACAGTGTTAGATATCCGCTCCTCTGCATCTAGCTTGTAAATAAAGCATTAGAATTAGGTGATAAAATTAATTTCTGAGTGCACTAATGTAAATGCAGTTAATGAGGCATTCTATATACAGTATATCATCTCAAAGTATTGGAAATTTCAAGCTCCATATAATTCCAAATGTCTCAGTGGTACATGTGCCAAATGTCTTAAATAGTATGCCATATTTTAAATAATATGTACTGATAAAACATAAATATATATGATTTAAGCTTTTCCTGCAACAATTTCTGGTGCAGAATCTGTTGAATCAACAAGAATACCTGAGAGCATAAAACGAAATTAAGTGAATGTTCTAATGGAAATGGCCATTCTTAATCATTAAAACCAAAAGTGAATGATAATCAAAGCCAGATGAAATTAATTAGTTGAAGATTAATTTTCATAAGTATGATGTCATATACACTCTCAGTAAATAAACCATGACCTTCAGAGTCAAGATCAAAGGTTAAACATATTCAGTTCAAGGTCTCAACACCTTGAGGATATCTGGTGTAAAACTATGAAAAAAATTAGATCTTACTTACACAGGTTATGGCTGTTAGATCTGTTTAGATTTTCCTCTGCAGATATACAGAAGTCTATAGGTATTGACATTTAAACTGTGCATTGTTTATGCACCAAACCTTATATTAACAATCAAATGAGAATTTGAAAGTTTTTTTTTCACGATTGAAAACCCTTTACGTAATTGACAATTCTGTAATACTCATCACTTACGGTCATTCTGCTCTGTGAGTTTGGTTGTTAACATATGGGCCATGTAATTAACGGCTCCAGTGATCCAGGCCGTAGAATGGATTTTGAGTTATACAGATGGGTCTGGGTAGTTGAAGGTCATGAGCCTTTAAGTATTGTATAGAAATTCAAATAGGTAAGATGTATTTCTGCAAATGGGAAAACAAGCCATTATAAACATTTACAAAAACAGTGGCATATGGAGAAAATAGCTTTTTTATTTTATTTTTCTTCTATTTTTTTCTTTTAATTTAGCAGAACATACAATCTTTATACTGTATACAGTGTGAAAGCCTACTGGGCATGCTATAAAAGGATCTTTCAATGTACTGTAGGAGAGTCCAGAACACATACTTACCAAACACTTACATCCCTTATTGTCCCAGATGAGAAAATTGCTTTGCAGACTGGTAAAGACATGATACAATAAATAATAAATTTAACACTACATAAGACATTCACAAATAAGAAACATACTGTACATGCATTACATGTGAAAAACAAGTTAAGTAATCCCCACAATTAAAAAGACAAAGAAATTGGGTCATCAGTGGGTTAGATACTGTACACATTATACTCGCATGATGAAAAAAAAGCAAAATAAAGCAATCCGCTTCCAAATTAAGCAGGTTACTGACTGTGGGAATAAAGGATAAATAAGTTCTATTGCATTTAAATCTAAGTTTAAATCAACATCCCGGTGGTAGGAGCTCAAATTCACTGTGCAATGGGATGGTCATGACAGTCAATTAGTATATTGGCATTCTGCACTGTTTGTTTGGTATACAGTAGATGTCTGAAAGCTGTAGTTTTTTTTAATTTACATATGTACAGTATTTATTTAAATCACACAGTCATCAGTTCTATACAGTATAAGGTAAAGTATTTCACAGCTTATAAAAATGTTTTTTTTATTAAACATTGACAAGAAAGTCACAAACCTTAAGGTCCTTCTTCCTGTTTCCCATTTGAAAGATGATCACTACAACATTATTGATTGGTAAGTTGAGTATAATAGCTCCCCTGTTAATTCTGGAACTCAGGATAACGCTAAGAAAACGAAAGCTAGACCTTCAGGGCACAACCACTTTGATTTATAAAGAGGTACAAGAACTTTCCAGCGCAGCAATTAGAAAGTTAAGATAACAAGACAAATGTTCATTCCATGTTCTCTTAAACCCCTGATACAGAACATTTACAGTATATAAACCTGTGAGTTTGAGTTAAAAATAAAAATGTATGCATGAGAATTAAATAAGAAGTACATTGCACTTATTTCAGAAACTGGTATTTCTATAATATTTTAAGTACAGCACTGATTGATGGAAAGAAATAACTCACACCTTGGCACACACTTTGTCACCTTTTCTAGGCAGACTTTTTCATGTTTTTTCACATAAAAGTATATTCACAGTACTAATTAGCAAGGTAATTATATCTAAACTGCTAGCGACAATGAGGAATTCTAATTGGTTTGTAAAGTAATATAGCTGATTTTCTATGATAGCTGGTGCACAGCATACTGTATGTTTTAAAACATTTTTTTAGCACAGCAATCGAGAAGCTCTCAAGTGACTCAGTTTGTCAAGACACTTGCTCAGAGTGCTAACCTGGCTCTGTGATTCAGATATTGTTTGTTCAAGTGTGGGTCTTGTCAGTTGCCAAATGTACCTGGAATTCTACAATAGGTGAAGCACTCTTAGCAAAGCACCAGTAGGATGCGTTTGGGATTAGTCAGACAGGACTCCCTCTGCTTTCTGCCAAGCAGTGACTTTGTTGACACATAGCAACATCTGACAGTAACACCTTTCATGTCAGGTGTTGTGGTCGTTGCAACAGTTGAGTTGAATAACAAGTGGCTCTGCAGGTGGGCCTGTCAGTAGGTGACTCATTCTTTCTAAAAAAATCTAATAGAATTTGAAAAAGGTATGTAATAAAAACTAATTGACAATTCCAAAATTCTTAAGAGCCTAACAGTAAATTTTTTTGGTCATTTAGTACATGTACTGTCTCACAAGCCCAGCATGATTCCTGGTCTATAGCCAAATTCATTCATGGAGCACTAGAAATGAAGTTAATTAATATACCTGGACCATATCACAACATTAGCACACAATTTACAATTTACAAATGTACTTTTTGCAGTTTCTCTGTTTAATCTCTTCTCTGTCATCTATAAACAAAACAAACAAGACGGGAGCCATGTACTGAAATACCTACATAACCTACATAAAAAGCATTTTTTTTCATAAAAATAGTAAATACTATTTATGGTGTACAGAGATGGTGCTGTGTTGTTAAAGGCTTGCAATACAGTATATGTAATATAATAATACTAAAATCTTAAAGTGCTTAAAACCCCCCCACAAAGTGCACAAAATAACAGACAAACACCATTATTAAAAACTCAGCAGAGTAAATAACACCATTAAATAGGGCTTGGTATAAAGTTCCTAGAATCTAGTTTCATAATCATAAATACACCTGAAACCAATACAAAAGTAGTAGAATTAAAAAGTACCTTGAATAAGCAGATCTCAGATTAAGAGATGGAGTAAACTCATGCATTCTGTAAAATCGGCGTCACACTACTTTTCCTAGTATTTTCAGCCATCGCCTTTATTTACGTAATCATGAGGAAATCGCTGCAGGTGGGCGCTTGTGTCTGCGACAGTCAACAGCCGGTGAGCGCTCAGCCGGAAGTACAGCGCATTCAACGCGGCCGCAAGGAAAGAGGGAAAGCGAGTGTTTTGGACTGTGCAAATGGAGGAGAGGCTCGTCGAAGTCTGGAGCCAGCAGAGATGTTTGTTTGTTTGTCTGTCTGTCGTTTCGTGTTTGTTTACTTTCGCGCGGTGCCCCTCCTCTTATTCCGGTGTGCTCCACGTTGATTGGCTGCCCAAATGAGGCGACCTCGCGGTACTTCCGCGGCGCAAGGCGAGATTTGGAACCGTGATGAAGAGGCGTCAGGGGATCGAGTGATTAGTCGCCCCCGGCGATTCCTAGTCGTATAGTTTGACACCCTGTAGGACAGAAAAGTCAGCGAGATGCAGCAACTGCAGTCGTTAAATTTGACTCCGACTAGAAGTCGAGTCGAGTCCTGTAGTGTGACTAAGGTTTAATGCAGTGTGCTGTATCAGGCAGTGCAGCGGCGTGTTGATTTTAGTCTCTGCCATTCTTCAGCACATCCTGCTCATAACTGAAAAGGTGCTAATTTGAGAACATTCATGACGCAGTTGCTGGTTCGGGAAACTCACAAAGGTATTATTCTTGTGTGCAAATGCATTTTCTTTCTCTGCAGTTCTAATTAAAGATATGGGTTTGAATGTTTTTTATAAGGAATGGAAGATTGGAAATCTTTTACAGTTTTGTTTGCCAATTTCATTTTGCTATTTTATAAAAACTATACTATTTTTGTGTAGACCGTAAAATCTGTAGTATTAAAGTTGTTTAGTATTTACATTTACAATTGTTAAAATTTTGCTTACATATAGTTTCAATTACAGTCATAAATTTTACTTTTAATAACAGTAAGATATACAGTACATTAGTGCAAATGAGTCTCAATTGCTCCGTTTTATTTCTAAAACCACAACCTGAACATCACAATCTATTCCATTGGTAATGTCATCTAACATATTTTATATAATGTCTGGAGAGTTTAGTTTCTGCCCTGATTGCTTCCGTTATCAATAATACCAACACTCAACAGTGTTTATCTCTTTCTTATTACTTGTATTGGAAAGAGATGGTAATTTAGTTTTTTAATTTAGTTTAGAGTAAATATAGTTTTTAAATTTACATAACATCTGTTTATATGTTATATCATTAATATGTTATACATGTATATTTAACAGGTAATTATTTTTGGTTATACAAAAACTTACATTTGTACATGGTACAAATCATGCTGTTGGGGAACCTATTACACTAATAAAAACAACAAGGTAAAATGGCATTGTAAATTTAAGGCCAAAATAAAGACTTTTGACTTGTGCAGCTCATACAGTATGTCAAGAGTTTATGAATCCTAGCTATTGTGTTGTGTTTGTTAAGAACAGTTTACACCTTTCTTTTCCAGATGTCAAAATAACAGTATAGACAAGTTATTGATTGTGTTGTACTTTTATGGTTGTCTGTTTGAGAATAACATTGGTGAAATATACTACTTTATTTTATTTCAGGGTGCAGAACCATTCTACAACTTTACAGGCTGCATTGAAATAATAGAAATCAATAAGCTGAGTGGTTTCTACCCTTCCAATGCTGTAAGCAGGAGCAGTGTCAGCACCTGCAGGTAAGGTGTAAACTTTCCAGTGAGTCATTGTGGAAACAGAATAATAATATGCTTTCTGCTTTTGACAAAGGGGAATAGTATTTAAACAAGTGATTTAATAGAATAACTATTCTACCTTCAAAACAGCTTTTTAAAAAGCACTGCCTAGAAGTATATATTTCTTATTGTATAGAAGTATACTGTATAAGTATTGTACTTATTTTCTGACTATCACTGCTAAAGCCTTGTTAAAGATCATATAATGACAGATGTTGTAATGCAATATATTTTAATTGATGTATTGTAGATACTGCATACAACTTTCAAATAAGTGAAAAATATTAAATAAGAAATTTTGTCTTAAGTATTGGTATTGAAAAGATAATTAGGTTGTATTGACCCTTAAGTGGATCAGATTTTGATATCTTACCTTTTATTTAGTTTATTTTTCTTTCCGTGTTCACTACTAAATAATCACAGTTTGAAGCCAAGTTCATTCAGATTCAGCTTTCATGCAATTTGGATAAGAAACCCTGAAGCTTAGAATTCTGAAATCATTCTGTTTCTGATAGTGATGAGGCTAATTGTTTACTGTGTTTCTTTATGTGAACGCCATAAAAATCACTACCTAATAACAACACCAATTAAACAATTCCTATTAAAGGTAGTATGTCTTGTATTAGATTAACTGTATCTTTTTGCATTTCTAAAAAGGGACAAGGGAACGGGTGTCCTACTTAAATATAATTTTCTTTGTTTTGTGTTTGGACACAAAACCTATTTGCTGTATATAGGACAGAATTACCTTCATTCTGCTCTCACTCTGTTTAAGAGGGGCATGCTAGATTTTTTTACCTGCAGACCATTGGCTGTCCAGCAAGATTATTACTGTTCCTCCATTTATCTGATGCAAATAGGTCTGATGTTCATAATGATGTATCAAAAATATATGGTTCCTTAAGAGTTTCCTCTAGGCATATCTGTGACACAATACATGTGACTTCTAACTGAGAGAAAGTGCTTTTTTCGAGTGATTAGTTATGTTTATAACATTAGTCTTTACTGTTTACTCTAAAAACATTCCCTCAAACTCCAAAATTGTGACAGGAAAGGATTATATCATAGTTGGCTTGTGTGAATTTCATTGTGTCTTGCATTATTAATCCCCCGAGAATGAGAAGCATATTTTCCGTTCACCAGTTCAAAGTCTGGATAGTAGGGGGAAAACTAGCTGTATTATTTTGAATTCTCCGTAAAATTCTTAATCCTTTTACTGTTTAGTTAGGGTTATACCAGCACAATGATCATGAAAATTACCCAGTGTAAGGCACTCTAAAGAAAAATTCAGTTTCCCATCTGAGGATCTAATTCTGAGTATGTTATCGAGCATATCAGATGATAAATAATTGTGTAAAAAGACATAAGAGTTTGTTTGGAGAAAGAAAAAGTATGCAACCTCAAATTTCTGCCAGTATTCTGTGACACTCAAGGTAATTAGTTTGTTCATCATAATTCATGTTGTACTGTGTGAATTGCTGTAAAACACATTTAAAATATGCAGCAAGGATTGGTTTGAAGGTGAAAGAGTCATTAAATATTCTACTATAAAAACTGCAAGATGCTACATAAAGCACAGAAGCTGAAAGCATTTATGTCCTATAATAATATTAATGTAGCAGTAATAAGAACAGAAATATGGCTTTTTACAGTAAAGGTAAATACTGATCTCAAGAAAAGAAGGACTATTAAAGACAAAGCTTAGTGATTTGGCCTTATGTTGGAGAGATTTTAAATGTAAAGCATACTACTGTCACTTCCAGCGCAAGAAAACAAAACTGCATAGAGTTAAGTTTCTTTTGTCTGCCACAAGCACAGTGAGTTAAAAAGGTCAATGAGACCTTGAAAACTGAAGCGATGTGACATTATGTTGTCTTTAAAAAAGAAAGTCACACCTTTAATATTCTTAGGTTTAAAGGAAAGCTGAAGAAAATAGCCATCTAAATTATGACCATTTCCTAAAAAGGGAAATGTCTTGTGCTGCTGGCATTTAGAAACATTTCTCCAGCTGCCAAATTTATAGTATACAGTATATATCACATGCTTGTGCAATGCTTTTCAGTGAAAGTGTTTGAAATCTCATGTGCAGATTTAAAATAAACATCTTTGGCTGTGAATTTCTAGGATACATGCGATTAATTCTTCAACATTTGAATTTTTAAGAACATAGGCACCCAATGCCAATATGATATGACCAACGTCAACCCATTAAACAGTCATTAAGACAGATGGCAAGGTCGAAAGTTCCATCAAATGCTTCAGTGGCATTTGGAATATCTGTAAAGGTCAGACAGTGTGGAAAGAAAATACTCTCACATTGAGATGATAAAAAACTACATTGGATCATTAAACTATCCAGTCTTTTTCACTTTTATTTTGCAACCATCATGTCAGATTCTCCAGAAACCTAAAGAACTGTTGTAAAAGTATTTTTTCCTAATTACTTCCATACCAAGAAATATAATAGAAATGTAGAAAAATGTTGTTTTCTTAAGTCTGTGGAATCTCTCAGGAATTATTTTCATGTATTATGAAAAGTATTTGTGCGTTTTATGATTTTGTGAGTTGATTTTGTTTTAACAACACATTGTTAAATGTATTGTACATCCTCTGGAGCCAGAGGTTGTAACTTTTAACTTATCATAATTTATGTTCTTTAATGATAGACAATTTTTAACATTTTTAAACTTAGAAAATAAACCCTTTTGCCATCCACAGAACTGGTAAATTACAGGGTTTGCCTTATATTGTTTCTGAAATTATTTAAAATAGATGTCTGCTAAAAAATTGGAAAGATCCAAAGTATTTTTCTTGTTGTAAGGACCTATAATTTCTTTATGAAATTGCTGTTTTCTGTTATGGTCATTTTTTCTTTCTTCAAATGAAATAACAGGTATTAACATTTAATTAATTATAATTGTTTGATTTAGTTCATTAATATTCTCTGAAATGTAAAGGTTTTTCCTTTTTCCAAGAGTGTAAGAGAGGCATGGAAGATACAGGCACTGATTTCTTTGACAAAGTGAGTGGACGGAAACAGGACATCATGTTTTAGAAACATGGCAGTCTTCCAAAAAACTGTTTAGTATACAAGAAACAAAGTTTTCACATAAAGTGTGTATAGAAACCTAGCCACTTGGGGTCAATTGCACTATACGAAAAACAGTGTACTAACTGGGGACGATTCCTTGGCTAGTACACTACTCCATACATTAGGTTAATACCAATGTCAATGAACTTGGCTGCTGAAATTAGTCCCCAGCTCTGTACCAAATATTTTCATAAAAGCAACAAACCCAAAGCTACAGCTGCTGCCTTCTAGAGGATACTAAAGTGAAGGACTATGCTAGTATAACTCTGGCTATAGACTAATTTAGTATGGTAATAAGCAGAACACTGGATCACATGAAAACGTTCTAAAAAGAAATGGCAATTTATTACTGATATAATATTGTTAATATGAAATGATTTCAGCATCTGTTGCTGTGACATTTATTTTAATATTCAACTAACATTATGTTCGAGCCACATTGTAATAGAAAATGAGATATAGGTGGAATTATAAAGAAAGGTGTCATCAGTATTACACCTACTAATAATAAACTTAGATCCATTAGAATGTGATGGAGAGTTCTGTGATATATATTGAGATAAACATTCTGGGAAGGGAACTTAAGGGAGCTTAATCTAGGCAAACGTATGACCAAGCTACACTGAATGGTCTAGTTTCACATTCATAAATTAGAGACGACACTAACATGAAGTGCAACAAATGTATCACATGAAAGTGTGTGAGGATTACCTTTATAATGTTTCGTACACAAAAATGTAGGCTACGCCTATTGTGAAAAAATGATTAGATTTTGTTTATAATTGTGTTCTCTTAAGCACCTTACGTGTCTCAGTATGTCTCTGTATCATTTATTAATACAAATCAAAGCCGCTCTGATACGTCAATGATCAAATTCAAACACCATCCCGAAGCAGCTGTACTCGTTTTATGGCCCATTGAAATTATACACATTTTGCAAGTCGGCTGACTGTACATGCCTTCACCTGGAGGACTTTGGCATTCATTCGTTTTCTAAAAGCTTCGCCCCATCTGGGGATGCAGGAAGGACGGAGCCCATCCCAGAAAACAGCGGGATAAATGAGATTTAAATATCCAGTTTAAATGGATTTTTTTCAACTTTATTGTCATCATTTGTTTGGTCAAAAACTGTCTTAAAATAATTTAAGACAGTTATATTATACAATATTTAATCAAAACTGTGAATATTTCTTCATGTATATGGATTCATATAATTTATTTAGTCATGTAATTATTTTTATGATTACATTAATACTAACTTAACTACTAAAACGAATGCAGTCAATGTTCAATATTTTTTTCCATTGTTTGTAAGACCAAATGTAATATAGTTTGTGAAGGCTGTACATGCAAGCAATTTTGCAAGTTCAAAGATTTTGCATTATCATTAATTCAGTGCCTGTACTTTAATTATTAAAGAACAAGGATATGCCCACCTAAAGCAAAGCAATTATATTAACTATAAAATTAAATTCCAGTGTGTAAATGTCTCTTAATTAAACATAATTTAATGATGACACTAAAATGTGTTTCTTAGTGAAAATTTTACAACACTGCATAATATTTTTGTTAATAAAACAAAAACAACAATAGAGATGTTACTGTATTATGGTTTTGTAACTTTTAAGAGTTTTTTTTCCCAGTTTTAATGAGCAAGTGCGTCGCCCACCTCAGTATTGCATAGGTAAAGTTTTTGTGCTGTAGCAAAGGAAACGCACATCTCATTAGTAAAACAGAGCAATTCTATAAATGTAACCGTAGGGAAAAAAAAACACAGAACAGCTGACCTTTGTGTTCCAGCAGTTGTTTTATAAATAACAAAAACGCAGGAGCAGAAAAGTGATTGCTTCTGAAGTAAATGCAAACACAAGGCAATAAATATTGTAATGTGCCACTACGCTACAGTTGATAGCAGTGTGGATGATGAGCTTGGGGCGAGCACCTTGACTTAGACGGTTATAGCTGATGCACATCTCCAGTGCCTTGCAAAGGTATTCAGAGCCTTGATTGTTTTCACATTTTGTGAGATAAAGCTTGCAGTTATGATAGAATGCTTTGAAGAAGCAATTAATGTTATTCACACAGCCTACTCAACACATTCAAAGTAAAAATGAAAAAAGTAAATAGATAATTAGTATGAAAGAAAAATAGAAAAGTAATGATTGCATAAGTATTCAAACTTATTCAAAGTTGTTGTTGTAGCAAATGTAAATTAAGTTAAAAATTAATCTAATTTTGGTGCAGAAAAATACCTTGATAAGTCACACATTTATCACATTAACTAGAGTGCCCTTTTTGGGCAATAATGGTGGTATTGTAGATTTCAGAATAAAAACCTCTGTCTCCTTGAGGTACCTAGGTTGCGTAGTGAATTTCAAGCAAGAGCTCAGCCACAAAGGCAAATGAGCTATCAAAGCAAGTCAGGGGTAGAAGCGCTGAGCAGCAAGGACTGGAAGATGAGTACAAATATGTTGAAGTCACTCTGTCTCTGAAAGCACAGTCTACTCCATCATCAGTAAACGGGGGGTCCTTCTGCCACCTTCACTCTGCCATCCCCCCAGACTGGGCAAGGAAGACACTGAGGCCAGCGGCAGCTTGGAAAGAGCTTTATGGAAAACTCGCATCCGGCATAGGGTTTGCGTCAAATCACATGAGTGTTCTTGCAATGGGGACCAGTCTTAAAAATAGGTGGGTCCAGGAAAACAAAAACATAACTGTAAGGATCCAAATCAGTGCTTTTTATTTACAAAGTGCAGAGAAATTCAAAGCAGTCGTCACAAAGCAAAATTATAAACAGAACAGAACAAAAGCCTAGCTCTTCCTTTAAGCTACTAAGTAAACTTGTTTAGTTCCCTAACTAAGATGCCGGGCAGCTAAGCTTAAAAATTATCCAGACTGTTTTTACACAGGAATACTTCAGACTCTCCCACAAACCTTCCAAAGATCAACAACTCTTGGCCTCTGGTTAATGTGGTCTAGACAATGCAGCTATTTTGTCTGGACTTGGTGTGCCGTTGCAATGCCAGAGAGTATGCAGAAGAAATTGCACCAAGCCAGAGTGAAACCTAAAAAGACTGGTGATTGTAATTATTTCAGGTGATTCAGTGTGAGCATTAGATCCTTGAATAAAATATTTATTAAAAAAATGTGTATGCTTAGTTCTGTAGTTTCACTAAATGGGACACCATAGGAAAGGTCTGAATACTCTCCGAGGTTCCTTAGTTAAGTTGTAAATTTCAAGCAAACACTCAAACGTGAAGACTAGAGAGGAGTCAAAGCAATACACGGATAAAAGCATTGAAAAGCACAGATCAGGAAATGGCTAAAATAATTCTTGAAGTTTGCTAGGCTCTGTAAATGCCTGTTAGTGACAAATGGTGAATTGAGAATAATCAAAGACATGAAAGACACTTAGCATTCAACAAATTTCAAATTTCATGGGCTTTTTCTGGATTTATTGAGTTCTGGGTGGAGTTACAGTACATGTACATTGATTTGAGGGCTTACTGGAGGGTTTCCTCCTGATGCAGTGTTTAAAAGAGGTAGGATTTGTTGGATATTTAACATTTATAGTATGACAGAGCTGTTCTCAAGCAGCAGATTGACCTCACCTCACTTAAATTGTTACCTGACCAAATGTCAGTTGGATGGCTGAGGACTGCAGCTCATAGCTGTACCTCACAGCACCCTGGGGCATAGTGAACAAGCAGCTACTGTACGCCTACGATATGCACAAAGCTCTCTTGGTGATCTTGAAATGGCCAGTGGAGTAAGTTATGTGCAAACATTTCACACTTACTGTAAATATTTGTAAATAATCAGTTTGTCTTGTATTTGGTTTTTCCAAAAAATAGATGTTTGTTTCATTGAAGTTGTACCCTGTTCTTTAACAATGAAACTTTTTTGTGCCTAAAACAAAGAAATCAGGTGATCTCACCTGACATTTTCTTACTAAAGAGGGAGGTGCTATTATCTTTTATGGGTTTGCTGGAAAGGTGGTGTCAGGCCTTCTTATCAATTTATCAAAATTAACCATGGAAATGGATTTTGTCCTTAACCTACCTCTTTATTCATGAGTATTCATGATTGTTGTAGGTTCCCCTGGCATACAGAAACATCAACAGCTTTAAAAGCAAGTCAATCTCCCTGGACCACTGCCATCAGCAAAGTGCCTGCATTTTCACAGTTTCCAACACCAGCTCCATCTCCGCCGGCCTCCTCCTGTCAAGAGATGCTATGTCAAAATGGGGGAACTTGCCGGCATGTGCAACTGAAGAGTGGTGCCACTTCCTTTGAGTGTGAATGTCCTCTACATTTTACAGGTCGCTTCTGTGAAAAAGGTAAGATTCTATTTGATCCAAGTAATGTACAGTAGTCTCATGTTTTGAACATGCTTCATATTCAGGGGTACCTATGGCCAAACTCTTTTTTTAATGTGCCATTTGCCCAAAGTTTAACCACTGTAACAAAAACATGACATCTCAAATCACATTAGGAGTACATTTTAAAATCATTAATTGATTAATAAAACAAAATGAAACAGGACGTCAAACTAAAAACAATGAATAGAGAACACATTAAAAATGTAAGGAATAAAATGTGTGTTTCTTTTAATGTTGCTGTTTTACCTGCATTACAAAAGATTATTTTAGGTCACATCTTTATAGGATTTAGGAGAATATTAATTTTAACAGCAGTGTTCACAATTTTATTTAAGAGAATGACACAAAGACCTTTGGAGCTCCAGGGAGTTCAACTGTCTGTGAATTATTACCAGTAGACTGGCTGGACTTTAAATTGTGTTTATTGTAATGACTTAGTAGATGAGATCTACATATTGTAAGATAGTTACAGCATATATTTATGGGTTTCCTTAAATTGTTGTCCATTTTACATACATGTATGCCTTCGATGTGAAATCTCACTATGTGTTATTTCCTTGTGTCTACAATTCATAATGACACTGACAATGACCACTTGACAGCAGGATCTTCTCTAAGTCCTCCTAGGAAGCAGCAGACATCATTCTAATGGTTGCTGACATCAGTTTCCCTCAGTATCATTTAGAAGAGTTGTCTACAATACTGACAGATATTATCTAGTGTGACAGCTTGTTTTTGTTTTGCCAAAGAACAGGCAAAGAACAGGCAAGACACACAGTACATAAGGAGAGAAAAGTCCTCATGGTTTGCTCCACATGCTCTAATGCTGGGAGAGTCCAATTATTGACAATCAGAAAAGCTTGCCTGTATTAAAAAATGGTCTTTTAATAAAGGGGAGACAATGGTGCAAAATTATGTTCAGGCATGATTTCTTGTAGTTACACAGTAAATACATTTATATCAGTTTATAAATAACTAGACATCCCTATATGAATATCAACAGAGGATGTGTTTACTTTTTATGCCAAGTAAAATAGAAATTTATCATGCAGCATAAAACAGTGAAGGATGCCATATTTACAATCAGTATAGTAGATACTCATATTATCATAGCTCAGCTATAAATGTTATACAGATGTGGCATTGAGGATCAATCAGTTTTTTTTAAACAACATCTTTGTTCTTCATCTTTATGTTTGTATCTTTCCAAGCTCCGACTCCTTCAAGATTTGTTCAGCTTGATGTGTATCTGTCTAACAATGTTATTAAATTGTTAAATGACGCGGTGTGTATAGAGTTAATCTCAATAACAGGGTATCAGATGTTTTTGACCAGTGGCACAATTGAAGGAAGTCTGGTTGGCTCCTTCGTAAGATTCAGTGGCTATAATGTAGACCAATTCATTTTTACACTCTGATATATTACTGACGCACTGGTTAGTGGATGAGGCATGGGTTTGGAAATGGGAAGAAACTGCAGCTTGAGCTAGAGGTTCCAAAGGCAAGACAAACAATAGATATGACAGTGGGTGTGGCAGGCCAGATCTTGGGGAGACTAAAATAGCAGCTGACATGCTACCAGATACCAGAGGACCTCTAGCTTCTGTATATAGACTACCAGGGTGCCATTTTAGTTAAGTGTATTATTGGTTAAGAGGATCCGCATTGTCACATGGTGTTAATTAGTAGTGGTGACTGGGTTGGATACAGTCTGGGGAGACCTTTTGTTTTAAGTGGAGTGAAGTGGGGCTTCTCATACAATGCTTGCTATGGTACGACTTGGTACAAACTCTGCAATAGAGCCTCCTCCTCCTTGAAGGTACTGATATCTTGAGTTTTTATCTGCTTAAGAACTCAGAGTCACAAAGCTGACACATGCCCCTAGACGTATCAAACTGGTGGGAGCACTTGCTTCCTGTTTGCACCAAATACAAAGGAAGGATTGCCATATACATTTGTAAGTATGCTAATGACACGCAAATCTATATGATGTAGAAAACCAAGATGTCTAAAAGCTTTCTTGTCAGCAGTGTCCCTTTTGATATCCAGTGAACGAGTGGCACACAACTGTCTTTCCATGCCTGTATAATGCAGAGAAGGTGGTGAATGATCTCAGAAACAGGACCCCCTTTAACAAAGCGTGTCTGATCATGGCAAACAGACAGGATAACTTGCACAGAGTTTGGGATCTTTGACTTTTTTTTACTAATACTGATATAATGTCAACAATATCCCTTTAAAATGGTATTTCCTGAATGAAAAGCTTGTTTGGTTTTCAAGTTCCAAGTAAAAAAATTGAACTATGATCTGAAGAATACAGTTGTGGGACAAATACAGTAGAATTATTTTAAAGCGTTATATATTCCATAGATTATAGATCTTTTCAGGATCTGAAAGATGGTTAAAATCAAGAGACACCTCCTGAAATATCTTATTTTTTAATAATGTGGTATTAAAACGCCAGTCAGGAAATATGAAAATGTATCAGTTAATACAGTGATCTGATAGCGATGTGGGTAGTTTCTCATAGTATAGTGTAACTTGTGACAAGACAATAATATGCTCAGTTCAAGAGTACAATTTATGTCTGTCTTAAAATCTTCTGTGGCAGAGGGGTTAGCTGCACTGCATACCTGTATATCAATCAGATCCAGATCAGACGTATACCTTAACAACGCTGTACATGGTAGAGATTTAGCATTCTGTCCTTCAGTTTTAATCTCTAAAGTATGTGATTCATGACAACATTAGAATCTGCATCCAGAATCGCAACAGACCCATCAAGTAAAAGATGGGATTTGGCCAGATTAAAAATAAATATGGCCTAAATGTTAAATTCCATATTTCCAGTGTCGAGGGTCTTATGCAACTCGGTTATAGTTCAGTCACTCATATCAGGAAAAGTTTATGTAGTACATAGAGCAAGCGATTGTATGATTTGTTGGACATCAGCCAGAGTTGAGGCTGGAAGGCAAAACAATTCAGAGAAGGCTTGAGAAGGTTTAAGAAAACAAGACTAACTGGTATTCAAGCAGCTGACTGGGACATAAAAACATCTGATGCAGAGGATATGGCAGAAGGCTGGTCATGTGGAGCTAGTGAATCTTGCCTGGATCCAAGAAGGACCACATCGAAAACAACAGGTCCTTAGGCATTAAAAGATACAACAGTGAAGATCAGATCAGATGTAATCGCGTATACGTAATCACGTATGTATACGAATGGCTTCTCATGCAGAAATTCAAAATGTGAACAAGAGAGACAAGCTTATTATAATTTAGTTTTCTTCAAGTGATATCACGGAGAATTATGAGTCATAAATATATATATATCCATCTCAGTTGGATCAGAAATGTAAATAAAATAAACATCTAAACGGGTGATATCAAAAACAAACAAGGGGCGGGTGACAATAGGAGCTCTAACTCTGGGTTGCCATCCTGATATACTGTACCAGCGACTGTATGATCAAGGGAACTAACGTCTAAAAGGCAGAGGATAACCTCACCAATCAAGGACTGGCACGTCCCTCTGATCCATCCACAGAATAATTTTTCCAGGAAGAAATCCTAGAAGAAATTCCAGGAAAAAATCGCCCATGCATCATCAGAATTATTGTGGCATACTGTCTGCATGAAAATGATCTGCCTGCTTGGAGGTCTTTCAGGGGTGATGTTAATAGCTAAGAGATAAAACTGATATTTCTATGTTCCAGAGAATGTCTGAGCTGGTGCCAGAGAGTTTTGAAGTGTTTATTTGTGTGTTTACAGACACTGTGGTAAGCCTTAAACTGACTGTTTAGTTGACAAAGCCAACCATAACTGGCCAAAGTTTTGTCATTTATTGGAAAGTTCAAAGTCCTGCAATGGCAATGGAATGAACATACTAAGGTGCACTACAGCTGATATAGAGACATGTAGTTCTTTTGTAAAACTTTATTTTTTTCTAGAGTTATATTTCTTCACAATCTGTTTAATGACTTATATATTAGACAAACAACATCATCTACATCTTAACTGAAAGCCTAACAAAAATAATGGACTCTGTGCAAAATTCAGCCAATATGAGAGCTCCTGGAATGCTGCCAGTCTGTACTGTGCCAGTCGCTGCCTGTCACCACTGGAGACCTGGGCTGCAGTGTCTCATGCCACAGAATTATTACACTTCTGTCAGTCTGGTCCCTGCTGCACAGTTGTTGATGACAAAAAACTAAAATGTAATTTTATATCTTGGCTCAGTGCTGTACAACTGTCTGAGAATAAAAATGACCATTGTGCTTTAATAACATCCTTCAGAGACAAAAGCCCTAGATAAGGATCCAATCCCTGTATTTTATATGGCAAATTATTGTTCATCCAGCATCTAAACAATCTTTTTTGTTTGGGGTAAAAATGAGCATTCTAAGGCAATGAAATCCACAATATTTATAGACAGTAGTTCATAAATTGAAAAGCTTCAGAACACATGCTAATATTTATTTTCTGTTTTCTAAAAGGTCCTGGTATTAGAATTCATTAGAGTTTTGCAAGAGATTGATTTTGTTTTTGTTTAAAGTAGTTAGCCTTAGATCCCTTCTTTACTGGTTTTTGCTCTTATATATTTTTGTCTTTTTACATATTGGCGACTATGCTGTTTACTGTGCAGTAGTTATAGACAGTATCTAAATGTTTCCATATATTGTTTTCTGTGGACATTGGAGATGCTAAAACATGGAATTATATTGGTACCGTAGTTGTGTCTTACAATACACAAAGGTAAGGGAAAATACTAAATAACTCAAGCACGGTGTTAAGAATGCAAGTAGGATTTATTGTTTTTGCTTGCAAAATAAATGCTGTTAAAAAGCTTTATGGATTCTTAAACAGAAAATACAATTAGAGTGTGATAACCAGGTATGTAAAACATTTCCAAAGCTGTTCTGTTCCGGTTCCTTGCCATTTATCATACTGAGTTGAACAA